GAGGTGTGGTCCAAAGTGGTGAAAACACCCTAACACACCCTCTTTTGTGATGAAACAAGGAAGTGAAGGCTTCAGGGAGATGGCCTACAGGAAGTGAATTCTGAGAGATGATCTAAAGCAGTGGTTCTCAACCTGTGGTCGCGAACGACCCTTTCACAGGGGTCCCCTAAGACCATCAGAAAACACATATTTCCGATGTGTAAAGAGCAGCTACTGTGTAGAAAGCAGCTGCTGTGTTGAAACAACTCTGTTAAAAGCAGCTACTCTGTTAAAAGCAGCTACTCTGTTAAAAGCAGCTACTCTGTTAAAAGCAGCTACTCTGTTAAAAGCAGCTACTCTGTTAAAAGCAGCTACTCTGTTAAAAGCAGCTACTCTGTAAAAAGCAGCTACTGTGTTGAAAGCAGCAGTATTGGAGGTAAAACGACACTCATGAATTATAATTACTGGGTAAATTAATGGTTGGGGGTCACCACAACATGAGGAACTGTATTAAAGGGTCACGGCATTAGGAAGGTTGAGAACCACTGATCTAAAGGAAGTGATGGAATCTGAAAATCATATAAAAAAATTCAGATAAACTGACAAGATTTTAAACCTCCTGTGAATAAGGTAAGTGAGAGAAAAGCACATTGAGATGGCTGGGCTAGAAATGACATTGGAAAACGCTTCTATTTATTATGAAAAGATAAATTCTGACCGAAAAGGTGAATTTATCCTTTGGAAGCAGGGGACAAACAGGGAAGGACCATGTCTTCCTTAAGGTGGAAATGGGATACCACCTTAGGCAGAAAGGTAGTCTTGGGTGCAAGACTAATTTGCTTTTGTAAAGAATCAGGAAGGGACCCTTACATGACAGAGCCACTAGTTCTGAGACACGTCAAACAGATGCAAAAGACACTAAGAAGGCCTTTTTGCAGGAAACCTAGTTCATCCAAAATTAGGATCCCAAGGAAGCACAGAGCAATGTAAGGGATGTCTAATTCAAGAAACACCTTGAATGAGGGTTTTTACAAAGGAAAATGAAACCAGAGGTTTTTGGAACAAATTGGACAATAAAGTGGTTGTAAAGGCTGAAGGTTTTCTATGCATGAAGGTAAAAAACCTTCTGTATGTAGCAGCTCCCCCAGCTCCCTCAATACTTACCTGTGCCTCATCGCAATCCAGCGATGTGAATGACAGCCTCTGCTGCCCTGGGTCTCTGCCTCCTCATGGGCTGAGGCAGCAACATGGAGCGATTGGCTCCAGCTGCTGTCAATCAGTCAGTCAGCCAATGAGGAGAGAGGGGGTGGGGCCACACCACAGCTCCATGTGTGAATGGACACACGGAGCAGCAGGTGCCCCCATAGCAAGCTGCTTGCTGTGGGGGCACCAGACAGAAAGGAGGAGCCAGTAGAGCCTGCGAGGGACCCGAGAAGAGAAAGATCCAGGCTGCTCTGTGCAAAACCACTTCAAACAGTAGGTAAGTATAGACATGTTTGTTATTAAGGAAAAAAAAAAATGTACCTTTAGAATCGCTTTAAGACTAATTTTGGTTAAGTCCTGGTTGTAGGAAGGCCAGAATATCTCTGATTGAAATGCTTGTACTTACATCAGGTAAAGTAGGATTTTAAGGTATGATAGTACATTTTTCTGGAAATAGTTTTTTTTTTGGGCTTTAATGTAGGATTGAGAGAATTAGAGACACCCCATGTCCCTCAATATCTGGGCTTCAACATCCATGTCACTAAAGCCAAATCATGAAAAGCAGAATAGAACAGAGGGCTCATTTCTGACATAGGAAATTGAAGATGTCAGGATGAAAGGCCCAATCCCGTGGTCCAGGTGATGGCTAAGGCAATCTGCCTTTAAATTATCCACTCTTAGAATGTGAATAGCAGAAAAGGCTAGACATTGTTCACTGCCCAGAAGATGATCAGACATACTTCTATTAAGGTTGCCCAAGGGGAATACCCTTGGTAAAGGTAATCCCTTACGGGGTACTCACCAAATAGGGTACAGAAATGGGGCAAGCATGTCCATGATGGAGACTGCAGCAACCCAGTTGCAGACCATCCTGTAGTGAAGTCTTCATGGCAAAAGAGCTGTAGGAAGTGCCTATGTACCTTATAAAGGGCTCTAGTTGGAAGTGGCAGTAATAATTTGACCATGGTGTGATGTAGCTCCTTCGTCATCCTCCTGAGACTACACTCTGAACGGTGGAATTTTACTGGAATGTTTGAAATGTCTAACAATACTCAAGTGAACAAATTTCAAATACATAATTGTGCTGAGGTGAGCACCCAAAGAAGGATACAGTGCCTGAAGGTACAGTCCCCAAGGCTATACATAGGTTGCACATCTTCTATTGTTAAATTAGGAGAAGGTGAGGAGTGGATTGATGAGTTGATAGAATAATCAGAGGTAAACTAATAAAACTAGTGAAGAAAATGATTATGCATATCACCAGAGGACACTAGCAAAAAATGAGTTCTCACGGAGTGAGGTAGGATTATGAGGTTTGCCCAGGAAGTGTGTACCGCAAAGCTTTGTGTCCAATTACCTAAAAAGTACCAGCCTAGAAAGTCCAGCTTGTGTTTTGTACTACTGTACGATTAGTTTAGTATCTAAGCTGTGTGTTTTGTACTACTGTACAATTAAGTTTAGTCCATCTAATCTCGATTCCCCAAATGCCAAATCCACCATGCCTGCAAGGCCCACAGGGGGGTGCAATACTCACAATCCTGAGCACTAGCACCAATATAGGGAAAGGAGTGGCCTCCCAGGGTCACACTACCTGGAAGCTCAGCATCCCCATTCACATCATGACCCAGTGCTGTAGCAGCTCTGCAATATACCTCCTTCTTGGTTGGTGCCCTCTGTGAAAAGGGCTGATTCCAGTATGGCACCTGCACATGTCCAGTGTAGTCTTCCAACTGCGCCTGCAGGATGGAGCGGAGTCACTGGGCCAAAGCAGCACAATAGGTAGTGCATTCTGCTGGCATTTGGGGACCGGACAATGGGAGGACTCAGTACCCATTCTGCAACTGAACATGGAGGTACGTGAATGCCCTGTAGCACCAACAGGGTGTACACAGTACCTTTTAATGAGGGAACCTGCAGCTCACAGACACTGTAGGGAAAACTCAGTCTGTGCGATTAGTCATGCAATAACAAACAAAACAGAGGGCACACTGGCCTAGTGCATTATCCTTAAAATATGGCTTTAATGTATAAAATGGTAAGTATTATACTCACAAAATGAACTAAAGTAGATGTTCATCTCATGAAAGCAGCACAATACATTCCATAAAATATCATGACATGACAGAATGATGGAATCTCAACAGGTTGATGCGTTTCAAGGACTTATCCTCTTCCTCAGAGGGCACTCAACAGATTGATGCGTTTTGAGGACTTTTCTTCTTCTCAGAGGGCTCTGAGAAAGAGGATAAGTCCTTGAAACATGTCAGTCTGTTGAGATTCCATTGCTCGGTCACATGATGTTTTACATATTGTACTGTGCTGCTTTTAAGAGATGAACATGTACTTTAGTCCATTTTGTGAGTAGAATACTTACCATTTTATACATTAAAGCCATATTTTAAGGATAATGCACTAGGCCTGTGCACCCTCTGTTTGTTACTGCAGTGCCTCTAGATTCCCCCAGTCTTTTGAGGGCAGCAAGGCGAGTGCACCCCATGAGGGCTAAGACATGACTGCAGTCTACTAACCTTTTTTGGCCTACTCTCTAAGCGCAGGAATATTAAAGGTTTCCGGTTCTGTGCTATTAGTCCCACTAACCACCTGGAGGTAAGGAGACAACACAAGGGGTATTTACAACACATGTAGAAGAGCAGGAAACTGGCTCAATCTCCAACTTCTCCTGGACAGGCAAACCCCGTAAGGTTTTACAGAGATTGGGCTTTGCTGCAGCAGGCCATAGCTATGGACCTGTAAAGCAACTCACCAACTATTTTATTTATTTCAGGTACTTAAATAGCGCTGTCAATTTACGCCACGCTTTACATAGATATTACATTCACATCAGTCCCTAACCCTCAAGGGGTGTACAATCTAAGGTCCCTAACTTACATTCATACATACACATATTAGGGCCAATTTAGACAGGATCCAATTAACCTACCAACATGTCTTTGGAGTTGGGAGGAAACAGAGTACCCGGTGGAAACCCACGCAGGGACAGGGAGAAAATGCCAACTCCAGGCAGCTGGTGCCGTGGCTGGGATTCGAACCAATGACCCTAGTACTGCCAGGTGGAAGTGCTAACCATTTAGCCACTGTGCTGCCCCACTAACTCTCAGATGCAACCATTTGCCAAAGTGAGCTCCACACTCAGGATCCAGTGCCAACACAGCTTATCGGCCTTTCCTGTTCTTCCATCACGGTGTGGGTAGTGATATAAAACCATTGATACGGTCTGATCCAGAAAACTGCCCCTTCTATAGAGCACTGAGGCTCAGTAGAGAAGCACAGTTAAAAGTATAACTATGTGCATTAAAGCAAAAAGAGACAGGTCCATCACCTAGGAGCACTAGCAACAAAATGAGACAATGTTGGGAAAAGTAGTGGTTATGCTGGGCAGTGTCAAGCTTTGCGATTTGCCAATGTCCAATCATCTGGTGGTGGAGCATAACCCAATAGTCTAAGGATTAACGCTCCTATGTCCTGTGATGTAGGTTAAAGGAAAAAAGTGAGGTCTCATGGAGCAGTGTAGAATTATAGAGGTATGAACAAGGGGGCATGTACAAAAGCTGTACTATCTGTGTGTTGCTGATGTAGATTTTACCTCACTTCCTGTCGGCTAAAATGTTGGCACACTACAATTACTACCATTTCCCAATATCTGTTAAAATGCACTATTAAATACAGAAACACCATATTGCTGCAGTTTATATTTGAGCCCACATTGCTTTGATTAAATTCCAAATTTTACCAACACAGAAGTTTAAGTAAATAAAAATCATAATAAAACAATCTGCATGCTCTGACAATTCACTTACCTGAAAGTGAAGGATTATGGTCCATATCAGCCCAAGGGTGAGTTTTGGGTTCCCGTCCGTGATATCGTCATTCCGGATATTGACCAATTTCACCTATGCACAAACAACATGTAGAATGGTATTTTCTGCAAGATATTGCAGACCCTATTTAAATAACTTACTGCTGTCTTCTTTTTTTTTAATTCAGAGCTATTGCACAACAATGTTAATAAGGATGCTGTTTACTACATGGTTTTAAAGCTAAGAACTAAAGTACTAAAGTTTCCTTTTTTGTTATTACAATCTCTGCTACGTATTTGAAAATCACGTGCATGCAAATCTACAGATACATCTCTTTGCTTTTTTCCAACAACTGAAAATATGCTGTGCAGGTGCTACAGGAGGATTCTGTAATTTCTTTGGCTGCTGGGTTGAGCTTCATTGGTAGGAAATCCAAGAGGTCATGCACTTTTCACCACCTCTTCCCCATTAGTGATGGGTTTGGTTTGGAGCAGGTGAACTTTACTGAAGTTCAGATGCAGAAATCCAGATATAGACAAGATAACATTTGATCAATGATGCCTATTGTATCCCCATGTCATCAATGGCCAAATATGGTCATGTCCATCGTTTGTCAAAGACATTACCTAGGTTCCATACCACATTCCATATTTAGCTGTGAGGGTCTGGGAGCTGGCATAAGAGGTGAGTGAGTGACAAGATCAGAATCAGGATTTTTTTCATTGAGGGTATCATTCATCATGATGTAAAAAGGACCTACATCACTGGGTGACAAGTTTGATGATGAATATTCATTGTTAAATATTCAGATTATTATTATTATTATTTTGTTATTAAAAGACTTTTCTGAAAATGACAGTACGTTCATTTACAGATGCCAACAACCACTGGGCCAGGGTTGTGGGGAAGAGGCCCTTGAGCTCATCAACAGAGGGACAAGGTGATTTGTCAGGGAACTTGTTAGAGGTTCAGAAGCCACCAAGCTCTCCCACAACCAGCCTGAAAAGGAAGCGATCACATTTAGCAGCGGTATTAATACTGCTGCAAACTGTATCACTTCTTGCTGCAGCCACAGGTTTGGCTCAGCTGAACACCCATTTATTTTGGCTGTTTGCCAAACCTTCAGACAAGCAAACATTTGATCCCAACATGGGTTTGGACTGAACTGGGAGCTCATTATTATTCCTAATTATTACTGGACCTTATGACATATTAAGGAGGGGGAGTGTTTTTTTATGTGCAATCTGTTTTTGCCTCCCACTCCCTTCCAACAGTCTCCGAGTTCCTCTGTGCTTTAACCTTGTTTAAGATGTAGGAACATGTATGGCATTCCTGTGTACCTTATTGCCTGTGAAAAAGAAAGGCAATTTTTAACCTCAAAAGTTCACTGAAACTGCCTGTCTGCCACTGCCCTATCTGACAGCTTTCCTTGGGATTGCTGGCAGTTTCTATCCACACAACTGTTCAATCAGTCACTTTTAAATTGCCTTCTACAATAGCATCTATGTGATGTGTCGGTGCCAAAAAAAAAAGTTTTGATACAGCCACAGCGAACAGCGTTTGGCAGGTATGCACACTTGCACAATTTTTCCCTAGCTACTTTACAGGGACCGCATGAAAAAAATAGGAAAGATTTAACTTTGCTTTAAGTAAAAAAAGAAAAAAAAAAAAAAAAAAAGAAGATTCCTCCATCCACACAAACCAGGGCTCACCACTGGCAGAATATATTTCACAGATCAAAATTCGGCTGGTCCCTGCTGAACCGGCTCAATTTTGATCTTTGTATGGACACTCCATTCTCAGAACTTATGTGGTGGGGGGGGGTCTATAGGGATAGTTTACAAAATTTGAGCCCATCACTCATGACTTACCTGACGTTGCTTGAGGAAATCCAGTGCAATCTGCACATTTTGAAGGCGGTGGAATCGCATCCTACCTTTCTCTCTGGGCTGCAAAAGTAAGGTAAAGTTTTTTCTTTAAGAATGAAGACAAAGAACATAGAGAGGTACCATATGGAACCAGAAAAGTGAGCAACAAGCATACTAGAAAAGGTTTAAGGGCAAGAAAGTTAGAAATAGGACGATGAACAAACAGTAAAAGGGGGGTCTACATAGAACAGACATTAACAAAAAACACAGAAATACTTAAGCATAAAGAGATGAAAATAAATAAAATAAAAAACATAACATATGGAGGTGGTAATGAAAAAGTAGAAATAGATGTTTGTGTAAAAAAAAGCACAACATTGTGAGAAAGCAAGTGACAGGAAACAGGAAAAGTAGTGGATGGTGGGAAAAAAAATAAGGATACATGGATTAGGTGACACCTCACACCTTTTGTCTCCTCCTCTGGGTACAATGCTAAAAGTTATTTTTAATTCACCCCGTGCAGTGGCTGAGGAAAGGAGGTGTTGTGAACAAGCACATGTGATTACATGTACACGTTTTGAGTGTTCCCTTCATGCGCATGCTAAAATCACACAGCACACATCCACCTCCCACAATGCTCCTGTGCTGTGCCCATAAGCAGATAGCCCAGTGCTGGAATCCATCCTCCCACTGGGTTATCTGACAGAATGGCAGCTCTAGTGACATACAGCATCGTCAGGGTTGTCCTCTGAATCCTCTCCCATCAAAAGGCGGCGGGATGGCTTACGGGTGAGTCGTAGGCTCCGAGGAGCCTCGGGGTCCTTGTTCTGATGGACATGGCAATGAGACTGTGAGGACAAGGGAGTGAATCAATGGCAAAGCACACAAAGCAAGCAAAAACAAAATACTTACTAATCTAACACCAGAAAGGACTTCCAAAAGGGAGATAAGATTGTGACCATCCCGAAGATCTTCATATAGATCATTGATGTGCTTACGAACCTGTCAAAATGAAAATTATTACTGCCATTGGTGTCCCAGACATATATACAAGGTAATAGGACAGATAGGGGGAGTGTTGTTTAATCTAGATAAATGCTTACTATGTATTAGGGTTTATATTTGCATTTCCTAAACCTCACATATCTGTCTGAGGTAACATCAGCTATCAATAAGAACTAAGTTATGTACCTAAAGCTGATCCACATCTGAGAACTAAATTGACATATTTTGCAGGTTACCAGTCCTCACATGTGCTGGCTGCATTCATTTTTTTTTCAGGCTTTAATCCTTTATTTTCACCTCGTACTCTTGCCCATCCTACTGTAACAATCATTTGCTATATTTATGAAAGAGCAGCGTAGTGGCACAAATCTACCAGTTCTTAATTTTTGGGGTTTAAAGCGAAGCTCCAGGCTCCCCCCCAAAAATTCAAAAGTTGGTAGTTACAAATACTGTAGCTGCTGATTTTTAACACAAGGTCACTTACCTGTCCAGGGATCCAGCAATTATATTATTGAGATACAAACTGAAATAGATTATTGAGATACAAATGAAGTAAAAGAGACCAAGGACAAGGAACCTTTATAAGGGGCTCAGTGAAATCAAAGGGATGGGTTTTACCTTAAAGCCAAACTCCAACAATTTTTAGTTTTAGATTTAGATAAAGTGGGGAAAGGCTAGAACCTATGTGAGGTTTCTATTGCCGTAGATGTCTCCGGTGGGGAGATTTACCCTCACTTCCTGTCAATGTAAGAGTGTGATAAGATATATCTCTGTAGAGACTGCTTGCTGTCTGCTTTCCAGTGATTCCCCCTACCCCACATTCACATGACTTTTGATAATGTAACTAAATTAATTGCCTGCTTTGAAACACACTGCATTTTATTTAGCATGGTCACGCATGATCTCCCATACAAACCAGTACCACTGGTAATAGTTTTCCTATCTTTTGGATGTGGAATGGTGAGTAATTGCATATAGCAAATAGTTGCTCTTTTGTGAATATGATACGAAGTAAACACTGCTCCTCCATAAACCCTCTTTTTTACTCTAGAGCTACTACAAAGCGAGTGACCACCTGAACAGAATTCCTTCATCAGTGCATGGTGGTAAGGACAGCAATGATAGCTGGATCATGCAATAACCTATGTAGCTGCAGCCTTATATTATTTACTTTCTACAAGCAATGCATGGTTTTAAATGTAGATATTTATGTGACAGATGTAACCCTGACTGTGGAAAGTAAATAGCTTTTCATATTTTTTTTAAGAAAACATTTTATAGCATGGTGAAGGTAACGAGCTGGCCATACACTAATTTTTTCTTCCTTCAGCCCGCTGAAACTATATTCCCTCCATTCACACAAACATGGTGGATGGAGAAATCTCCCCTTGCTGAAACACTGTATTCTGACAGCAGCACCCACAGCTGTCAGAATACACTGACCAGTGGCTGCAGCTGATCAAGAAAAATTCTCCAGCATGTCCTTTCAACAGACATCGGTCAAACTATAGATTTCTCTCAAACGAAGACGGCTATGCACGGATTTAAATTTGGCCGTTCCTTGCTGAACCAGCTGAATTTCGATAGATGTATGGTCAAGCTTTACTTTAAGAAGAGCAAGAGGGTATGCCTAATCTACCAAAATTCAAGCAGGAAAAAATTAGATGATTTACCTTGATGAGATGTTTATTGACCCACTTAGTGAATGTTTTCTTCTGCACTCTGTCCCGTTCATCTGAAAAGAAGCGAGGAAGAAATATTAGACAATCACCCAGGTAATTTATCAAACCCTTAACCAGTAAGGCCAGTGTGTGACCTCTCACCCTAAAGGAACTTTCTCCCACCCTCTACAGGAAAGAGATTATGATAATCCAGCAAACCTTCCTACTGCAGCCCAATCTCTGCCAGGATTAACCGGCAGTTACAATAATCCAAGAACAGAGTTTTGGGCTCGAATGCAGATAAAAGATGTATCGTAGAGGGTGGGGGCTTGAAAGAAGTAACTGCAAAGAAAAGCCCACTTAACACAAGAACGACACACTGTAATATAGAAAACACACACTGCAATAACAGGTTTGTCTCGTCTGAGCCTTCCTACCACCATCGTGACACATGCACATAAATTTATCCCCAGGATGTGAACTCAGCAAACGGATTATTGCTAAACCTTCTGAGGTTTAGGCATGAGGGGAAGTGAGACAGGCAGCCTTCAACGCAAAAAGAATATATTTCTTCCCCTCTTCCGGAGACATACTGACCCATGCAGCACATAAGGCACACCAGTTTGGAATCAGAGTGTTTCGTTCTCTTGACATGCCACATGGCAGAATTTTCACTGCACCTTGCTTTCACTTAGGGTGACAGCCACCAAAGACTTCAACAGCAGCAATTCTTCTCTAAGCTCCTCCTACATCCTGAACGGAACCCCCACGTGAGTTCTGAAATTAGGGTGCATAATTGCCACTCCTAGCCATGCTGAAGCTAGGTGTTCTTCTGTGAGTTGTCCTCTCCAAGTCAGGAAGCTGTTCCAGCCTGCGGCCACCTGAACTCCTCATCATCCTCAGGTATGCACCCGCCTCTTCCCCAGCTGGGATATTCTAAGGAAGCCCACCTCGACCCTCCCCTTATATCCACCTCATCCCAAACACAGAAAAAGCCTCTAGTCAAATGAAGAGACAAGAATGAGCACTGACACTTCTCCATAGAGAAGTGTGGGGGAGGGATGAAAACTCATTCTGCTTTATACACTGATCCTGTGTCCAGCTTATCAAAAGCTGAATTCCACACAAGGACACCGTGAGTGCCACACATCCATCTGTCATCGTACAGTACTATATAGGAGAGGCACAGTCCACATCTCTGAAAATAATATATGTCCATGTTCTAGAACAGTTCAAGTATACTGAACTGTTATCACCTAACAATAATACTCACCTGCAGTAAAAATAGCTGTGCTAATTCATTTCCTCATTTCAGCCCACTAAACTGCCTTTGTCCGTATACTATGAATTACATTTGAAAGCAGTAATAATAATAATAATAATAATATAGAATATAATATAATAAGGACAACTACATAATAAAAATAATACGATAACTAAAAAAAAAATATATATATAATTCAGCTTAAATCTTCAGAATTTCAGATATACTTCCTTATATGACAACATTGAGAATTCCTCTATTCTTATGAAGCCCAACCGTACAAACTACCACTGTACAGAAAATGTATAACTGATCTATATAGACCAGTCATTAAAGAAGAACTTCCTGAAAATTATTTTTCTTTCATGCAGTGGAGCTGTGCCCGCACTGCATGGATTAACTGCTTGTTTTCTCTAGGGGCACACCGAAAACCTATACTTACCTGATCCTTCAATCTTCTGGAAAACCGTGCTCCCCCACGTCCAGCAGTGGACTGTTGCTGCCGTCTTCACATCTGGAGCTGGTCTATGGGCGTGATTACAACTGAACAGTCCATTCACATGACTGCTGGCATGCAGGGGTGCAGGAGCAGTGGGGACCAGTCTTGCAGTTGGAGGATTGGCAGATTAGGTAAGTATATCTAAGCTCTGTAATCCCCTAGACAACAACGAACAGTTAACCCATGCAGTGCAAGCACAGCCTCACTGCATGGGAGAAAAATTATTTTGCCCGAAGTTCTTCTATAACTATGCTTTTTTTTTCGTGTTTACTTTCTATTTAAAATTGAACTGAGCATAAAAGCCTGATCTAAGAGCTTTCTCTCATTTTTTAAATATACTTGTCCTTTAGGCCTATTTTTAGGTGGACCCGATCAGACCCTACATTTTCCTCTATAATGTGTCAGGTGTAAACAGACAGGAGGTCTGTTTACATCCGACCCGCCCCATAGAGAAAAGCAGGCTGTGTCCGTGTCCACTCTGAACAAGCGAAGGAGACATGGACATGCAATCTGCCTACTCAGCAGGGATAAACGGACAGATACCCCACTGAGCAGGCGGAGTTCGCCCGTGCAAAAACGGCCTTGAGGTTTCACCATGGGAGATTTCCTATCCCTTCTTGACCCAAAGACAGTTATAACAAGGGCAAGAGAGGAAAAGAGAAACCACCCTGTATGGGACAAAGATTAAAGTAAAATGCAAGTACTTGTTCTAGTTGGAGATGGCCTTTAGGATGTCATTTTGAAAGGGTATAAGATGCCTCACTAGAATATAGTATATATAAACCCTCACCTTGTAAAATAACCCATTCAGTTTAAAATAGAAATGAAAAGACAAACATTTGTGTATAGATATAAAAATAATTAAAGTTTATTTTTTCCCCTTTTACAAATGTTCACATTCCCTCTGTTCTCAGCTGCTTCAAGTGTTACTAAACCCACAACAATAAAATCAGTCTTCATATGCAGTAAAGCATGCTTGTTATACTCACTGTGGAACCTAAGGGGTTAATCATCTGCACTGTGTAAAAAGGTTTGATTCTGTCTTCTCTGATCTTCCCCTTTATCTACTGTCCCCTATCCATCTGCTGATAAAACAAAGCCTTGGGGGCAAGCTGCACATGCTTACTTTGGTGTGTATTGCTACAGTTTTTTTTTCCCTTGGGAGAGTGCATGTGACCAGCACAGGGCCAATCAGCACTGTCCAGAGAGTCAGGGGAAGCCTCATAAGACAATGTAGGGGAGAATGAAAACTCCTCCTACAAGCTTTAACCAGTGCTGTGCTGAACACTGATAGAAGTCACAAGACTGCTATATACTGCTAATGGAAAAAGGTATTTAGCAGTTTATATTTACTAAAATAATTGCTGTTCCATGGTCTGTGTACTGTGGGAGACCAGATATAGTGAATGCAGGGTCCTGGGTTTAGTAACATTTTAAGTAACTCAGAGAGCTGAGGGAAGAAAAAGCAGTACACTTTCCAGTGAATGGCTGTTGGGGGGGGGGGTTTACCAGTTTGATCATTGGAGGAGAGCACACCGAGTTCCCAGCACAGCCAGAAATCTGACCATGCTGTGCTCTCATGCCTAGTGTGGTCACTTTTTATTAGGAAAGCAGAGGAACTGGCAGGAATACCAGGGATTTCACACAAAGGAAGCAATACAAAACAGGATTCTTTTTCATTCAAGTACATGGTACAGCAGGCACATATCAAGAATATAAATGTTGGATTTACAGTAGGGAAAAATAATTATTTGATCCCCTGCTGATTTTGTAAGTTTTCCCAATTACAAAGAAATTAGGGGTCTAGAATTTTTATCATAGGTGTATTTTAAATGATAGAGACAGAATATCAACCAAATATCCAGAAAAAAACACATGATACAACTGTTAAAGCTGCAGTTCAGTGAATAAAAGTATTTTATCCCCTACCAACCAACAATAAATCTGGCTCCCACAGGCTGGTTATGTGCTCATGTGGTAAACAGGTTAGTCCTGTCAATTTAAGAAGTTGTTCCAAATGACAACTTGTTATGTGTATAAAAGACACCTGTCCACAAAACCTCTTTCTTCCATTCAAACCTCACCACCATGAGCAAGACCAAAGAGCTGTCAAAGGACATCAGGGACAAAATTGTAGACCTGCACAAGGCTGGAATGGGCTAAAAGACCATTAGCAAGAAGCTGGGTGAGAAGGAGGCAACTGTTGGAGCAATTATTCGCAAATGGAAGAAATACAAAATAACCATCAATTGCCCTCGGTCAGAAGTTCCATGCAAGATTTCACCTAATGGGGTAGGGATGATCATGAGAAAAGTGAGGGATCGGCTCAGAACTACACAGAAGGTGCCTTGTCTCAAGGCATTTGGGACCATAGTCACCATCAAACCATTGATAACATAATACACAGGCATGGAGTGAAATCCTGCAGCACCCCCAAGGTTCCCCTCAATAATGCACATGTAAAGGCCAGTCTAAAGTTTGCTAAAGAACATCTAAATGATTCAGAAAAGGATTGAGAGAAAGTACTGTGGTCAGATGAGACCAAAATTGAGCTCTTTGGCATTACATAAATGCCGACTATGACCTTAAGAACACCATGTCTACAGTCAAGAATGGAGGTGGAAACATTATGCTTTGAGGCAGTTTCTCTGCTAAAAGGTACAGTCCGTTGTTGCTGTACTGAGGGGCCAATGGACGGGGGCATGTACTATAAAATCTTGGATAAGAACCTTCTTCCCCCCAGCCAGAATACTGAAGATGGGTCGTGGGAGGGTCTTCCAGCATGACAGTAACCCTAAACAAACTGCCAAGGCAACAAAGGAGTGGCTCAAGAAGAAGCACTTTAAGGTCATGGAGTGGCCCGGCCAGTCTCCAAACCTTGATCCTATAGAAAATTTATGGAGGGAGCTGAAACTTTGAGTTGCCAAGCGACAGCCAAGAAACCTTAAGGATTTAGAGAAGATCTGTAAAGAAGAGTGGACCAAAATCCCTTCTGAGATGTATGCAAACCTGGTAACCAACTAAATGTCTTACCTCTGTGCTTGCCAAAAAGGGTTTTCTCCACCAAGTACTAAGTCATGTTCTGCTTAGGGATCAAATACTTATTTTACTCACTGAAATGAAACTCAATTTATAACATTTGTAACGTGTATTTTTCTGGATTTTTGGTTGCAATTCGGTCTCTATCATTTAACATATTATTATACAGGATTTATATAGCGCCAACGGTTTGCACAGCGCTTTACATTATAGTGGGAGACAATACAGTAACAATACAGTTCAATACAAGAGGGATTTGAGGGCCCTGCTCCTTGGAACTTACAATCTAGGAGGGAGGGGTGAGTGGTACAAAAGGTAAAACTGTGGGGGATGGAGTGGTTGGAAGAGTAGAGGATTCCAGTATTAGCAAAGGGCGGGATAGGCTTCCCTGCAGAGATAGGTTTTCAGTGATCGCCTAAAGGTAAGTAGAGTAGGTGATAGCCTAATAGATTGGGGTAGGGAGTTCCAGAGGATTGGTGACGCCCTGGAGAAGTCTTGGAGATGAGCATGGGAGGAGGAGACAAGGGAGCTAGAGAGTAGGAGGTCTTGCGAGGAGCGGAGTGTACGGTTTGGGTGATAATTAGAGATAAGATCGGTTATGTAAATTGGGGCAGGGTTGTGGATGGCTTTATATGTCATTGTTAGTGTTTTGAATTTTATCCATTAGGCAACTGGGAGCCAGTGGAGGGATTGGCAGAGAGGGGTGGCAGATACAGAACGGTTAGTGAGGTGGATGAGTCTGGCAGAAGCGTTCATGATAGACTGGAGGGGGGATAGCCTGCGATGAGGTAGGCCAAAATACACGTATAATAAAAAGTATAGACTCTTCATTTCATTATAAGTGGGCAAACTTACAAAATCTGCAGGGGATCAAAGAATTATTTTCCCCACTGTAGATATTCTTTAATTAAGACTAATTATAACAGGATCTGAGGATGATTCAGAAATCTATAAAGTACAAGGACAGGCATAGCTACATGATACAAAAGCTGATTATCAATCCCTATATAACAAAGCTGGACACATTCTAAATGTCAATGATGACTGAAAAAAGTACAGCCAGGACAAATCTGCCCTATGCCAGTAAAAGGCAATGAAGGGTGTGGGGCAGGGAACCAGCAGAAGATGACGTGCAATCTGACAAGTCCTGACCCAACAAGCTGCTACAGGAGGTGTGGGCTTTGCTTGGGGCCAACAAATAAGAGTATGGAAATCTAGGATGACCTGGAAACTAAAACATACCATTCTGAGTACTGGCTACAGATTTTCCCCTGAAGGCTGATGGAATGTAAGGACCCACACAGGTATGTGCACTGTATAGAACTTTGTTTCATGTATGTAGGTGGCTCTATACACACTAGAGCAGCCTTTCTCAACCTTTTTACCTAAAGGAACCCTAGAAATCATTTTCAGATATTGGGGAACCCCTGCTAAAAACAATTCATCAGGGATCAATGGGAAACGTGCCCCTTATACTGTTGGCCAGAGGAAACAAGAATGCCCCCCTTACAATGGTGATCAAAATGCCACTACTACAGAATGCTAAAAAAAAAAAAAAAAAAGATAAATTGGTGTCCTGCAGCTGGCTCTGCCAAGTGGTATAGACCCCTGAATAAGGCAGGCACCATCAGATAGGAGGTCATTCAGCCACAATTTAGGGGACCCCTGGCAAACTCTGGAAAATCCCTAGTGTTCCACAGAACCCTAGCTGAGAATGGCTGCACTATAGCATTATTAAAATGTTGAATTTTAGAGCACATTTTACCAAGCCTTTTGGAATGTTAGTATGCATTTTGCTTTTTTGTTACACTTGTAGTTTAATGTTCTGCACTTTCATAATGTTGTAACGTGAATCCAGACTAACTGTAATAATCTACATATAGACAGCGCGTGCCAACTTCTTTTTTTAAAGACGCTCTGTCATTATATCCTGCTCTGTCGGGCAACAACATAGCACAGGCGAACAAACTTTAGTAGTAGTGCTCCCTGCTGCACTAGTTTGAGAGATTATTTCAGAGAGTTATCAGCACTGCTACTCAGAAAATCAATGCTTACTGTATTGATGAATTGTCGAACTTTCTAAATTTGCTACATGGATGGCCCTATTGGTCTCCTAGTGCATAGCATCCTTCAAATGACAAAAACATTTGGAGATATCAATCAATAGAAATAGAAAATTACTTTCTGAAGAAAAATAGTAAAGTGGTTCTCAAGGCCGAAGGTGTTTTTTTTTTTTTAATAACTCAATGCATTTTTGCATTAAAACAAAAAAAAAAAAAACCCCTTCTGAGTGCAGCTCACCCACCCTCCCCTTGAGCCCAATCCCAATCCAGCACTGTGCACAAGAGCAGCAGCTCTCCCCACTCTTTCCCTCCTCATTGGCACAGCAGCTTGCTATGGTGAGCACACAGTGGGAGAGGAAGACCTAGGAGTACCAGAAGGGGACCCCAGAAAAGGATAGGGCTGCTCTGCACAAAACCATTACACAGAGCAAGTATAACATTTTTTTTTATTATAAAGGAAAAACAATTATAGGTTCACAATCACTTTAATAATGAAACGAAAATCTATATAGAGGGCAATTGCTGTCTAAAACATTCTGCTAATGGTAAAGGATAAGTTCACCTTTTAACAAAAAAATAATAAATGTACAATTATTTGCAGGTAAAAAAAAAATTTACTATTTTTTGTTTTAGAAGCCTGTAAAGCATTGCGCCAGTGATAAATAGATAGCTGGTGCCATGCAGGTCTCCTGTAGACTGTCAGTGTGACAGGAAGAGTGAATGAACTACCACAATATCGCCGTGGTAGTTAATTTAGAACTTCAAGCCGACAGCCTCAAAATATGTGAATCAATGACGCAGCCATTTGGGCGGAGCCCCGCATGGCCGCGCACTTTTTAAATTGTGGCAGCGAGTACGAAGAGAAAATCCCCGGCTCTCTGCCACAAGGAGGGGGCCTGAGGCTGATCATGTCATACCCTAAATATGGGTGTAAAATGTTCAGAAAGGTGAACTTATCCTTTAAATAACAAAAGTTACCAAAAAAATAAGAGTTCTTGTTCAGCCTTCCCAAAAACTGACCTGTCTATGGACAGCAACAGAATTGTACTGAGGAAAATGGAGGGAAGCAAGCAGTGTCCATAAACTACTTGCTAAAAGCAATAAATGCAATGCGGCTTTTGAGCATCACTTATGATAACTAGGTGCTCTCTGTTGCACTAGAGGGCAATAAAGTGAACCCTAGGGAGTCTCAGGTCATTATTATGACACAGGAGAACTTTCTAAATTTGTTGAAAATTTTCCCTTAGGTTAGAGTATTCTACAAGCCACAAGACTAAAAATGTATCTAAAATCAAAAGACCAAAAT